GCAAGAACACCTGCTATTACTTCCTTTTTCCTTTTTTCATTCCTACTAAGAGGCATTCACAGGAAAAAGAAACAAAGAAAAGTTTGGACCAAATGGAAAAGAGCTGGCAAAGTAGGGGATTTTAATCCAATCAATAATCACATTAAATGTGAATAATCTAAACATACCAATTAAAAAGAGACTGTCAGTTTAGATAAAAAGGCAAAACCCAACTAGATGTTGCCTACAGACAAAGATGACGGTGCAGTTGTAAAGGGGGTGTGCGTATTTGGGGTTTGGGGGGTCACTGATTTGGGTGGTAGTTGTACAAAGTACTTCCTTTGTAATTGCTTGTTAAACTCCATTTTATTTACTTGATATGTATATTCCCAATAAAGAAATAAAGTTAGCTGGCAACCAAAAAAAAAAAGAGGCATTCACAGTAACAGCTACTGGCTAATAGCTTTTAAAAAAAACTAAATATAATAATATAATAAACCCTTCTGTCAACTCCTTTACTGCTCACAATTAGGCTTCAAGTATTTTTTAAGCTATTTTAGCTTTAATGGTAGATAATTATATATATATATATATTTTTACAGAATTCTAAATAGAATATCATATGATAAAACATATGTTAAAACAGAACATGAACATCATGTTGAAAAGGAAAGTATGGTTTCTAGAATAGAGGATACTGACCTTTCTCACATCTCTGTTTATATCTGAACAAGAGAAAATAATGTAATTTGCAAGAGGGTAAGAGGAGGACCAGGATAAGAGGACCTGAATGGGGAACACCTTTCCAGCAGGGGAAGTAGGAACATCATGAGGGGGTCTCCAGGAGAATGTCCCCAAGGGCTTTTTTATACCTATCTGGTTGAGACGACTGAGATCTCATCCTGTGTGAAGGCAGCTGAAGGCACTCGAAGGCCATGGGAGGCACTGTGCCTTCCTGTACCATATTTGTATCATCGTGAAGTTCCAAGTCAACGTTCAAGGTCTCACGTATGATTAAAGTGAGTCATCTCTACTAATCGAGCTCTTCCATGAGGCTCCTGGAGTTCAATGTTTCTTTCAATATGACCTTGGATTCCATAGATTATAAATTCAACTTAATTCCTTTAGTCTCTGGTGAAATTAAGCAAGCAATCACCACTTTTGAGTCTTCAAACTTTTGTTAATCCAAAATATGCATTTTAAAATTCTCCCATTTCCCAAGGTTTCAGAGCTGGTAAGGAACACATCTAAGACCTATTCAGCTCCCTCAACTTTAGTATTCTGTATACCATATTCTGCTACATGTTAAATGCTAAGTGCCCTGAAGTCCAGAAACTTAAGTGAGTGGGAGCCTTGTTTTAGTTTGAGTGTTTATTGGCAAGTTCCAAGGACTGGGGTAGGCTGTCAGGAAGGAGTCTTGGAAAGCAAGCTTAGTAAACAGGAAAGACAGAACTTCAGTTGGTCCTCATTTCAACGTCCTGCTTGCACGTTTCAAAGGTCACCAAGCAGAATGCCAATCTGTTGGAAATACTGTGTAATATATAAGGACAGAACTGGAAATTAGGACCTAAATGTTGAGAACCAAATATAGTAGGCCTTTCTTCTTAAAGTATACCTAGACTGAGGTTGCTAGAATTAAAACAGATTTTAACCACAGAAGAATTAATCCAACCTTAAATTTCTGGGTAAAGTTCAGAGCAAAATATGTGCAAAACAAAATTGAGATCATTCCTGAATAACCAAGTTAAACCTTTGAGACAGTGAAAGGAAAACACTGCCTGCCTCCCTCTCTTCCTCCCATTCTCTTTCTGTCTCTCTTTTTATCTCTCTCACACACAAACTCTTCAAACCAATATAAAAAGTTACCAAAAAATACAGATTTTTAAATTATACAAAATAAACTCTAAATACATTTGGAGTGTTGGGGTTTCTATTAATACTAAATTAAGCAGTGCAAAGAATTTAAGCAAAGTTAAACTTCACTGCCCCTCCAAATGTAGTTTTAAAATCGGTATGCAGGTGTTAATTAGTCGGAAGAAAGTGCCTAATGGATCAGAAATATTACCTAAAAATATTCAGGTGGAAAGAATGCTTTTCCTCTAACTAAATAGCACTGAATCCCAGGAATCAAACCAAGAGAGTCCATAACAGAGGAAAGAAGATCAAGACTATTGATCTATTCTGTTTGTCAAGGGACCACTTCTTGATCTCTCGGTTAAACAAAGTCACCCTTTGCTGTTTTGCATTTTCTCAGACAGTAGAAATGAAATTAACCCCATCCAAAGACCCCTGAAATTCACATGCACTTACCTAAGCTCCTAATACCCTGAAGTTTTATAAGCAACACTATTTCATTTTCATTTAACAAGCAAAATTGTGTATTAAATTCCCACCACCTGCCATGTAGTGTGCTCTAATGTGATCCTCACTATCACTGCCTGTGGTGGAGGTGGAAGTGGGGAGACACCACTCACTCTGCCTCCCTGAATTTGAGGCTGTCACGTGGCCTTCTAGCGCACTTGGAGAGCAGTCTTTGTGTGAGTTCTGGGAGCTACCTGGCTACGCTTAGAGAAATAAGTGATCCACACTTCTTCCGGGGTGGTACTCAGGCAGGCACTCTCTGCTCTGACCACCTAACATTTAACTCCTTCTCTGAAAGGAAAGATGTACCGGTTGGAGAACAAAAATGACCAGAAGGGGTGGCAGAAGTCCTGGATTTAGAAACAACCAGATTCCTGGGGGTTGAAGATCTGTTGAGGCAGACTGCATGAAACCATCTCTGGGAACACACAGCAGATAAAACACCACAAATGAAACCATCAGTGACCTTCAATTTTGGGAATGAAGCTGAAGGACAGGTCTCATTGGCCTCGACTCAAACCTAGCTCCAGAGTCAACTATCATCTCTCAGGAAAAGAGAAACTTAGACAAAAACATCCGGGGCCTTGGACATTCTTGTCCAAGTAGAGTTGGTATGAACTTTCAAAGCCTTCTTATTGCTGGAAAGGTACAGTGGTACTACACTGACTGGCAAGTGTAGACTTCATCATTAAATATCCACCTAAGCCTTCGTTCAGTGCTCAATTAAATGTAGGATTTCCATCCCCAAAGCACACCAGATGGCAAGGCCTGGGTGTTCTGAATACTAACAGTTTTGCTCCAGATAAGCCCAAGGGAGCAGTTATGGCTTCTACCTTAAACTCTCAGCTTGGCCAACTTCACCCTGACTTCTCCATCTTCCTTCTCTCTCCTCTTCTTAACTCCAAGCAAAATCAAAGCTCTTCCCCCTCCAACGCTTGGTTATCTCATTATGAAAGTTTTCAGTACCAGAGGACTTTGGATAGATTTGTCAGGCCCTAGTTGACAGATTCACATGTGCCCCATTCATGAACCAAACCTGATCAAGATAGGGGCCCCACTAGTCAGGGCTGAGGGGAATTAGTCTTCTGCTGTCAACTAGTAGTTTTCAACTACGGTGATTTTTTGTCCACCCAGGCATATTTGTCAAAGTCTGGAGACATTTATGGCTGTCACAACTGGGGGGGGCGGGTATTAGTAGCAACTAATGCATAGAGGTGAGGGATGCTGCTGAATATTCCCAAATACACAGGGCAGTCCCTCACAACAAAGAATCATCCGGCCCCAAATATCAATAGTGCTGAGGTTGAGAAACCCTGCTGAAGACTTAATCCCAGGACTGGGCCATGGAACCCACGCTCATTCTGAGTTAAACTTCACTCTAGCCCCCTATTGTATCCTCCTTGTCAGTTTGATTTCTACCTAATGTGCCTGCCCCATGCTCTGGTTCTTCCCTGCAGGGCCTGAAATCTTGCTCTGAACCCTGCCTGCTTGACTCTGGCTTGACACTTTGGCTTTTGCCAGAGCCCTACTCTGGATCTTATAATTGGAGTCCTATCCACCTGGACCCACAGAGTCATCACCAATCATTTTTTTTTAGCGTTTTTGCTGTGAGAATCCCCACTGCCAATCCCTACTTACTAGATCATACCACAAAAACAGGAACAGTGAAATCAGCCTGATTCACAGCCCCACTGGATGTTGTATTCCGGACTGCTGACTGCCCTTCTCAGGGGCCGTTCCCACAATTTGATCCAGCCACCCAATCTGGGTCTCATTTCTTCCCCCTTTCCCCTAAGTCTGTGTCACTGAGATTACAAAATGACTTGAGGCTGAGTTAACTTCTTCAGGATGCTTTGAGAGAGAGAATAATTTCTAATGGAGCATCACTGAGCACTATGCTAAGGGTAACACTCTGCAATTCAGACGTTTCCACCTAAGCTTTAGAACCATGATGATTCAGGCAGGATGCTATTCTAGAACAATGATGGCCATTTTTCAGAAGCCACCAAAAGTATTACGTCTTTCACTCTCTTTCTCTCTCCTTAGTAATTATTTCAAATCGTTACATGATTAGCCATCCCCCAGCCTTCCATTAGAGAAGCAACCCATAAGTATTTCCCTGGAAGGTGCAGCCACACACCGTGCCAGGATGTCGTGCCGCTCCCAGGCACAATATACAAGTATGCCCATGCCTCTCTGCCATGACGGAGAATGTCATTTCCAGGAGAACTCTGGCTTCTTGGCCTCATTCCAGATGCATTCAAAAGAGGAAAGGAGACAGACAAAGCAGTAGATGGAGAGTAGCTGGCAGGAGCAATTCCATCCACAAACATCTGCATAACCAAGAAATGAGTGCAGGTTTGCAGTACACTGATGTACACCTGGGTGGGGTGACAGCAGAGCAGAGTGGGTGGGGACGCTTGCTTGAAAATCAGAGTCCACCCAACCAGAGCCGAGAGTAATATGTGAGTGACTGCAAGAACCACGACCACTTTGTAGTAAAATCAAGTTATCAGAGTGGGGCTCAAAGACAGTGGAATTTCAACCTTACTGGTTTGGGCCCCTATTCTTACATTTGCACAGCTGCTTCAAATGCTAGTTCTAATGGCTTCTGAAGATGCTATGCAAGGAAGATTCCCAAGAAACGAATAAAGAAGTACCTTAGGCACAAGAAATGATCATCAAAACTCATCCTTCCCGAATACAGTGAAATCAACAATTTTCCCAAGAAATCTGCATCACCAGAAGTCCTTCCTAAAAAAAAAAAAAAAAGAAATTAGAAGTGAATGAACACAGCAATCAAACCTAAAATATTGCAACCCTCTGAAAGAACACAGAGATAAAACCTAAAAGATTGCCCCATTTTCAAGGTTCTATCGATCTAAAGTAGTAACTTCGTATTTCTAAAATATAAATTTAAAAAGCACAGCGCCTCCTTTTTAATCCTTCTGGATTCATCGAGACATAACTCCTGGTTGAACATCAGTTGAACACACATGCTATGTAGCTTTTTCAGTGGTGGTGATGAATTTCTCTTAAGCTCTCCAACCCATTCCACAACAACATTCTTGATTTATGTTGGCAAAAAGCAGCTTCCTGGGGTTTCGGTTCCCCCGAACTCTGTGCCATTGCAGAGTCCACGTGCCCCGTGGAGGAAGAGATGCACGAATCTGAGCGGCATGAGTTACTCTCAGGTATCACCAGAGAATGCAAATGGGCTAGGGCGGTGAAGCAACAACCCACGAGTAAACTTTCAAGCCGTAGCTGACAATGAAAATGACACCAGAAGACTTAAAACGCACAGGTGGTCAAGTAGAGCAGTGTGCTTTTCCTGACTGGGCAAGATCCAGATTTTCCGCTGTAAGCACACTCCCTTATCTGCTCCATTTTCATTGGTTCCAGATTTTATAGGGATCTCCCAGGTAATTACGAGTTAGGTCCCTATTAGTCGTGTTAATTATATAACGATGCCTACATTTCTGCTTTTTGCATTCATTGTTTTTCATAGAGTAGTAAAGACTAATCATCTTTTGACTGGAATTGCAAATCTTTTTTCCCAGCACACTGAGAAGATTTTCAGCGGATCCAACAAGTGGATTTCACAGGGACTGGCAGTCCATGAGTTGGGCCCTTGTGCATTTCAAGGCCTGGGTGTTACCAGCTGCTGATACTTCTTTCCATGTGGAGAATATGTGCCTTATCATTGCACTTCTGGACTGTTTCCATACTTCCATTCACTCTTCCCTTGACAGTACATATAAACCACACCCTCCAATGTCAGCTTTATCAGTCATAAAGATGATGTGTTAGTCTGTTTTGCCTTACTCTCTTGTCTTATTTCTCAACTGTGTTTGAATTCGGGCAGAGAAAAAGAGTTTCCCCCTAGCATACCCCAACATTTGCTGCATTCACTGGGAACACCGAGAAATTAAATAAATGGCTGGAATGTTGGGGAATAAAATAAATATGTTAAAAGATCTTGAGGGGCATCGGGCTTTGGATTTTTATGTATGGGAGAGATCTTTGGGTTGTAGAGGCTTTTATTGGCTCACAAGGTTGCTTGTTGCACTTGGAATTTTTTAAATTCTGTGACATGGAAAAGGGAGCATAAGCTTTAGGCCACACATGATATTTCAACTCTGATAGATGATTGCAACTTATCCTATGGTTGCTTTATATGGACTGTTTTTCATATGTGGCTCTGTTTATGTATTGTAACAGCCGAAAAGAAAGTTGCATGGCCCTCAGCAAAGACACAATTCTCAGGAGAATTACCAGGACAACTGGGCCTCACCAATGTGCCAAGGCCCATGTGTGGGCATGACCTCATCAGTTACCACCTGCATGGGGCTTAGAAAGGCCTGGAGTTTAGTGGGCACAGGCAATCCCACGGTGAAGTCTTGGCCTTAACACACACGTGCTGATGATTCAGGCCTCCCCAGCATATGCTGGTAGGACTCAAGGCCACACACTGAGTAAATGGCCAAGCTAGGATCTGAAAGCAGGCTGGTTTTGCACCAGAATCCAAGTTTTTAACAAGCCGTGTTGGTTTTCTTTCACTGCTGCAACACACTTAGTGAGCTAACACAACATAAATTTATTTTGTTACAGTTCTGGAAGCCAGAAACCCAAAAATGAGACCCACTGGGCTAAAATCAAGGTGTTGGCAGGGCTGTGTTCCTTCTGGAGGCTCTAGGGGAAAATTCACTTCCTTACCTTTTCCAGCTTCTAGAGGCCACCTGTATTCCTGGGCTCACGGCCCCTTCCTCTATCCTTAAAGACAGTAGTAGCACAGCATCTTCAAATCTCTGGCTCTCACACTCTTGTCTCCCTCTTATAAGGGCCCTTGTGATTATACTGGGCCCACCTAGATAATCCAGGATAATCTCCCCATTTCAAAATTCTTAGTTGAAACTGCAAAGTCCTTTTTGCCATGTAAAGTTATATCACATGTTCCATGGACTAGGACGTGGACATCTTCAGGGGACCATTTATTATTCTGTCTACCACGCCAGCACACATCCACATGGAAATTGCATTTTGGATCATGGTCTTTGACGACATACTAAGCCCCACATTCTGGGAATGTCATTTTTTCTGGGATGATTGCTTTAGGGGGTTGAGGTTTGGCTTCTCTTCTAAACGTGGTGGGTGTGGCTCACCACTGAAAATATATTTTTGAAACTTTTAACCATTAAATCTATGAGCAACCTGGCATTGAACAGTATACTTTTTGCAAGAACCACACTAACCCCAGTGAGAGAAAGCCCGGGCTGCAAACACTGGCAGAGCCCCTTCCTCTGCTAAGGCTGTGGAAACCCCTTAACCCAACACTTAAAGAGAAGAGAATTAGTTACTTTGGACTTAATTCATAAGAGCAATGGAACCTAATTTCAGACTATAATTCCTTTGGGCTTTGTCATCTTTAGACTTAAACTTGTAAAGGGATTAGTGTCTGGATTTTAATTTTTCTGAGAGAATTACAATGGGAGAAATTGTATTCAAATTTAGGGCATCTCCACATTGCTGGCCTTTTATTAAGAGACTTTCTTTCTGCATTTCTCTTTGATTTTATTGCAGAACCTCTGAGAGGTTATATTAGACAGTTGTAGTAGGACAGAACTTGGGAAGGGAAAGAAAATAGGGAGTACATTTTTGGCCTTGGAGTTAATTTAATTAATGCATTGTTCTGACCCATTTCAAGGCCTTCTGGGGCAAACTCTCCTCCCGACAGGTGGAGACCTGCCCAAACCAGCCCTGCTGGGTGACGTGGTTTAAGTCCAGGCAGGATTCGGTGTCTGCGGCCATGGCTGGAAAGTTGGCTGTGGCCGGCTGTTGTAAGCTGGTCCTGTGCTCCAGGATTCCAGGGGGCTCCTTCCCTTTATAAGCCTTGAATGGAGGCCCTGGCATTGTGGCCACCAGGAAATATAGCACATTCTCTGATATTTGGTTTGTTAAGTTAAAAGGTGATACTCTGGACTCCATCTTGCCTATTCCTTTGTCTTCTTTTCGGTTGGATCCAAATTTGGGTAAATCACAGGAGTGTTAGTTACTGGGCTCCCATGAACTTTCCAGCAAATCGTTTTTCCATCTAGATTGTTGTATTAGTCTGCCAACCCAACTCTCTTTTTCCAGGCAATCCTTGCAGGCATTTGAGTTTGCACTCTTTTGCTTAGAACAAGAGATCTTAACCCTTTTTGTGACATGAACCCCTTTGTCAGTCTGGAAAATCTGTGGACACTTCTCAAAATAATGTCTTTACAGGCCTAACATAAAACAGAGGATTACAAAGTAAACGAATCATACTGAAACACACTTCTCAAAAAGTGCTGAAAAACAAATCTGAAATATAATGAATATGAATCTTTTTCAGTGTATTAAATAACAAGATCTAGTAGTGAACCAGTAAGTATTATAATTTCAATGCATTGAGCAGCACAAACAATATTTCAAGGTATCTCTAGCCACTGTAAGTAACAGAAATTGTAAATATCTGTGACATCTATTGGTGACAAAGTAACAGGAAATGATCATTCTGATGTGGTATGTTGTCCACCTTCAAAAATGAAAGAAATGTCAAATTTCAGTAAGAAGTTAGTGAAAGTAAATATGCAATATTTTTTTCCTTTTCAAGTTCATGAACTCTCTCCATGGAAACCCAAGTTATTAAACCTGGGCTTAGAGTGGCTGCCTATTGCTTGTCTTCCGTATAAAATTCCAAGTTATCCACTTTCCCTAAAGGTCCTCTATCAGATCTCACTGTAGTTCTTCTCACCAGTCTCATCCTGCATCACTCCTCAAGGCTGATCTGCTTTTAACTGAAGCAAATCAAATTTTTAACGTTAATACACAAAATATTCAGATTTGTATACACATGTATTTCATTCCTTCAAGTGATCACTCCTGAGCCTTATTCACTAGGCATTCAGTTGTACATGGTTCCTGAGCAGTCTTGTCTACGTGTGTAGGAAAATGCCATAGTATCTCACCTCATTGAAAAGATATGCATATCTGCTGAGTTTTCATAGAAGTGTAAGTTCAATGAGAGCAGAAAATTCACCTGTCTTATTTATCACTGTACCCCCAATTTGGGGCATATAGAACCTCAACCAACATTTGTGGAATAAAAAAACCAATCCACTATCCAATGATAAACTCACTTCCTAGTGAAGCAAATATGTACTAAAGAGGATATAAGTTATCTGGGAAACAAGAGTGCATTCTTGATGAAGTTGGCTTTAATGCTTGGAATGTCTATTTCCTTATTATTAGAAAATATGAAGGTTTCTCCTTGCAAATGCTGCTCATACACACAGGGAATGAACAAGTACCTTATTTTTTTCTTAGAAAAGATGTAGTGAAAGTGTGTATCAATTCTCTCATTGCCTTTAATGGAGATAAACATAAGTTTTGTATTTGGGGAACTGTTCCAGACAGGGTCTTCATAAGTACCTCCTACTATGACGTTCTAGATACTTTAATAAGCATTTTTGCTCAGTGGATCATGTTAACCTTTGCTCCTTTCATATTACTCAACAGCTCAGGACTCCACTATTTTTTCCTGAAATATATGAATACTTTTTTAAAACATAAAAAAAATCAGTTAAATTTTATCTTAGGTTTTAAAAATTTGTATAGTAGAGCAGTTGTTTCTCAATGGTGGTTGTTTTGAATGAGGGTTGGCATAAATGGATTTGTTTTCTGAGTGGTAGTAAAATACAACATTAATATATCATAATTCATTTTTTAAGACC